GACAATATATCAAAGAATTTAATCGTTGAAACCTAGATGGAAAACAAAAATATTATATAAAAAGAAAACATGGTATTTTAAAATTTTTTCCAATTATATTATCATTTTTTCTATCATTCTCTTTATTATTAATTAATTTTTAAAAAATAAAAATATATATATTAGAATATAACTTTAATTCAAACTAATAATTTCTTATAAAAAAAATATATATTAAACATTTAACTACTATAAAATCTTGTTATCAATTGAATGCATGATTAATGTCAGTTCAAATGATAAATGCCCTACATATATATATATATATATATATATTTATTTATTTATTTAACATCATCTTCTTTATCAATTAATAATAATTAATATTTTTTAGTTAAATAATTGGCAGTTCCATCTCTCTCTAACGTGGATTCTAATTGTTTTTTATTAAAATATTGTATGTACTTTTCATAAATTAAGATAACATCTGTGTGAATCGAACCCACGACCACATGATTAAAAGTAATGCGTTTTACCAATTGAACTAAGATGGTTCTATTAAATTTTAAATAAAATTTTTAATAATGATTTGTTTTCGATTAACGCAAATTCTAACCTTATTTTGACTATTAAAATTTGATTAATAAAAAATTATATTGTTAAAATACAACATGTCTATTGAAAAAAAAAAATTAGTATGCAAACTATCTGACAAATCAAGCTTTACACCGATCTCTTGTACTACATTAACTACAGCACTCTTTTATGAGAATTCTAAACATAATTATAATTGATTTTATCGGGGTCTCCTGATCTAAAATGTGTAATATTTAGATTTTTTTTTGAATTTTGATATATATATATATATATATTTTTTTTTTTTTGTAACAAAAGAAATATAATGTGTATTATCGTTAATATAAAAATATCATAAATTTTTGAAGTGTATAAATTTTTATAAGGCTGGTCATGGTCCTAAGAAAAATTACTGAATTCTAATGAAAATTAGAGATCAAGTCCATGATTATATACTGTAATTATTTGTTGCTTCAAGACAATATTAATTATATAGAAAGAAGTTGATGTTTGTCTTATTATTAATTTAAAAACTAATTAATTTCTTCGAATTGTTACTGTAATAGGACAAATTAGTGAGTAATACATAACAAATTTGAGGTGTCCATTACAACATTAACTCAGAAAACCAACCCTATAAAGCATGATTTTTAAGTGTTAACTAGAAATTGCTTTCTGGGTGTCCACTGCTGCATGTGAGTCGTTGGATTTTGGCCCCATCTATATATGTACATATATACATATATATACATACATATATACATATATTATCGTATTCACATGTACTAAGGGCCTTGAGGAGAGAGATTGGAGTGTTTCGCCTTTCCACCCTTTAATTTTTCTAATTGATCATAAAAGACATATAACCACCTTTTTGCTTCTTGTTTAAACATTCTCATCGTTCTTCCGAAAGGCATTCGGGCTCTGTCTTTTATTCCAACTTTTGTCGATTTCTTTTTTCCTGGACCACCTTTTGCACCTTTTCTATTGCTTGACTTAATTACTAAATTAATTCATATAATGGTAGGCAACTCTATATATATATACATTAATATAAAATTAGATTAATTTTTAATGCATTATGATTATTTTAAAATATTCATTTTATTTTAAAATATAATAAATTTATTAAAATTAAATTCAATTTTATCACTACAGTTTAACTGATTTATTTTAATTTTACAAAATTAAATATTACTACTTAACTAACCGATGTCAACCTCATAATAAGTTAATAATTTAATAAAATATATATTTTTAATGAGATTTTAACTCGTGATTTTCAATTAAACTTAAAGATTTTAATCATTATAATACCATATTTTTTATATTGTTAAATAATTTTATTAAAAAATTGAATATTCATGTTATGGATTCATCCCTTACCCATATTTATCTTTAAATAGTGTAACGAAATTTATCTTTTTAAGTAAGTTCATAATATGTTAATTAACAAATTTTCTTATTATGTACTTAAAAAAATGTAAATATATATTAGCACAGATCTATCTAATGTTCTCAAAAATTAAATTTTTTATTAAAAAAAAAAAAATTACGCATTTAGATTTGAATGATTAAATTTTTTATATTTTTACCATGTCATATAATACAAGTAGAAATGTGTTTTGAACTTACAACACTAAAGAAATATAGAGCTTCATGTTTTCACCAACTATTTGAACTTTTTGTTTGTGGCATTTCTATGGAGTACATACATTAAGTTGAAACTCAAATCACTTGCTGCTACAGCAAAAGCTACTTGTAGTAATTAGCTTGAAATATTCTTATCAAGAGCTTTTATATCAAATAGAAATGCATTACAGTATGAATGTTATTGAGATTTGAGAGACTTTCATTTGTCGTAAGAGAGAATTAGATTACTGCACTTGGGTGTATAGTACTGAAGAATCCCACAAATACTATGGAGATTAGCAGCTTCAATCATGGATTCTTCTTACCATTAATTATATATATTATATATAGGATAACATTAATTTTCTGAGCTTTTTGCCTTATCCATATCTGCACTGAGTTTAAAGAAGGGAGCACTTTACTGTTGTTTTATAGTAGTTGTTTGTCATTTTTATAATAGGATTTTGGTTATGAGATAATCAAATCTCTTTATCCACATTATGAAATTAGTACTTTCTTGTATCACCTTTTTTTTTTTTTTTTGCAGCTATGATTTTCATAAATCCTTCTTTTTCGTCCAGCCATTCCCGCTAAAGTCCAGCAAAAGTGGCACTAATTTATCTCAGTTCCATTAAACTATGAGAATTCTGTTGGAATACATACATATATATTTATTTATGAAATTACTCCTAAACCAAAGAAGAAGAAAAAGAGAAGAAGACACCAGAAATATTATCTAATGTTCAGCATATTGTCTCACTGGTACCATTACAAAAATTCCTATTAACTATTTATCACACAATCTTCCTTCTGTGATGCCACCGGTTTCTATATTTGTAAAAAAAAAAATTATTAGGGTCCATGAACTTTAATTTTTTAGACCCAGATCACTTAAAATTTAAATTTTTATTTAAAACTTAATAATTATATATTTTTTGTTATAAATTGAGATATCACCGTTTATCATAAACGTGAATTAGCCCCCAGGACTTGTTCTTTTGGAATCGAAAAGACTTTTGCCTATATTTCCATTCCCTCTTTGGACGTTTCTACCACTCCTGTCTTGAATTGAAGCGATTAGCTTCTTCCCCCTCATATACGGACTAAGTGGCTGAGTTTCAGACGATGGACTATGCAGTTGAGTTTCAGACATTGTGACAAGAGAACGAGTTCCTTTAGAAGATGAAAATGATAAAATTATCAACATTAAGCACAAGAAAATCTTAATGCAAGACATTTTCTGCAATCCAAATGCTTCACTTGTAGATATAATGGACAAAAGAGAGGGCATGATATACATATATATACATTTAAACCTTGACAAAATGGTGGGTATTCTTTTTTTGTTATTAAAATTAATATTACACAACTTAGTGGAACCATGACCAACAAAATATACATGGTTTGCTTTTTGTTTCGTTTTATAGTCAGGTTTTTGTTTTTTGATCTTTGCATTTTATCAACTTATCAAAAAAAAAAAAAAATTAACGTTCAGTTCAGCTTCAAATATATAAAATTTGTTATAAACAGATATGTTCGTTAATATTTATTGTTAACGCAAAAATTTAGTTTGTAATTCATCATAGGTTCTTAAAATTACGTTTCTTATTTTTTTAAAAAAGAAATAATATTTGTTATTAGACTAAATGCACTAATTAGTGCTTAATTTTTACTTTTTATTTATTATGTTATATATGTACACCAATAATGATATAATTTTTTAATAAAAATACATAATAATATATTGAATAATTTGAATTAAATCATAATTTTTTTATAGACATTAAGCCCTTTATAATAATGATATACATAATTTTAAACATTGAGTTATTTATTACTAATAAAAATTGAGCATTTAATTCAATAAAACTTAGAAAGTTAGTCATTTAATAGCCCATTTAGCTTTATTATTATTATTAATATTATGGGGCAAGAGAACCTAGGATGTGTATTGTTAAAAGGGTTTGAAACTTTTGATGTTGAATTGTTTTGAGTGTCCAAGTCATTTGTCTTGTCAGCATGTGAAATCATGTGGGCATTGAATCTGGAAAGGAGCTTTCATTGGGTTTTCAAGAGTCACGCTTCCAAAACCTTCTTTGGCTTATTATACGAACCCCACAATGTGTGCTTTGAATTGTTATATAACAAACTTCCAACTTCACTTGTCTCTAACACTTTCTTTCTTCGTCTCGTACACAAGCTGACCATTTTCTATCATATATATGTATATGTATATATTATTTTTGTTTCTTTTCGTTTTGAATTTAAAATGATATATGTGTGTCCAATGTCCTATGCTCAGCATCCTTAGCATATCTTCTCTTTAGACAATTGATCCTCATATAGAAGCATTTCTATTTGATTAAAGTATGAGTATTATTATAACGTTGAAAATTCATAGTTATATTTCATAATTTTACACCAAAAAAAAAAAAAACTACAAAATCAATCTCCACTCCTAGATTAAATTAGTCATTCTTAGTTTTTTATACGTAATTTTTTAAAATTTATTAAAAAATATAAATTCATGTGTAAGTGAATGATAAAAAAATTTAAATTAATTGAAGAAAATAATATTAAACGATAATAATGAAAGTATATATACTATATTGTAAATCAAATTAATATTCAACAATTTTAAAGATCTTCTCAATAAATTGAATATAAATGTATCAAGTTTTAGACAAAATTTAAATATTAAACAAATCATCTCAATAATATTTAATATTTCTAATTGTTCTATGTCCTTGTGATAGGCTTGAAAATATATTCAAACTTTTTATATTTAGATCTAAAAATGCATATTATCGTTTTACTTCACATACATGCAATTGTTTGAATCAAATTATTGGATTTTTTTTCAAAGTCCTACATAAATTACTAACTTAGAGTGTAAAGTGTTAGAATTATATTTCATATTTTAAGTTATAATGTTAAGGATGGTATAAAATTAATGTGATATATATATATATATATATATTGACACACGTCCATTGCAATGATAACACTAGTTTACAATAAAAATTTGTTTCAATATCAATCAAAATTAGTTTATAACGTGTTTGTGTGTGTGTGTGTGTGTGCACGCGCGCATATATATGTTAATAAATTATTTTTGAAAGTATATTTTATAATGTTTTTATACATAAAAAAATAAAAATAAATATACATGATAACAAAGTAACCTATACATCATTAAAAGGATTAGTGATGAAATTAATAGAATAATTCATAAATTATTGCTAATTGTCGTCATTGAAAACATAACTGTTGCAATATGTACATTGCTTCATATATAGAGATAAATATGTAGATATATATATATATATATATATAATCCAGTAAGATAAACTATCTAATCAAAACTCCATAAAGTCAGAGAATGAGAGTTAATAGTATTTGTTGACTAATTAATTGAGCAGGAGAGGGTAGATAATACTATCTAATTAAAAATCCAACTGATTGTTTATTTAAAAACTCTACTAAAATTAAAATGTAATAATTAAACATTTTTATTGAAATTAAATTATCTAATTAAACCTCTAAATTGTATTATCTATCAAATTGAAAATTTTGCATATCACAATCTTTCAACTATTTAATTAAAAATTCTTCTGAATTAAATTCCAATTAAATGTTCCGTTAGACTTCTAATTAGAACTCGAACTCAAAATAAAATGAAGCATTGCAATTATATTAACTCTCTAATTTCTCCACGTCGCTAATAAACTAAAATTGTCATGAAAAATTCTTCTAATTCTTGACGGCAAATGATATGCTTACTTTTATATGAATTACTACATAAAACAGGACATATCTCCCTCAAAAAAATTATTTCCCGAGTAATGAAATTGTTCTGTTTCATCCTTACAAAAATAAAAAATAAAAAATAAAAAATAAAAAATAAAAACAAACAAATCAGGACATATGAACCCAAAATTAACTCAATACAAATTACCAGATTCAATAATTAGTAACATAATTTAATTTATAGGTTTACCTACGTAAATAAATTGTTAAATACTACACATAAAAATAACAAGAGTGTCAGATTTTATTGCATGTACTAATACGATCCTCACGGGTTTTACATGTGTTTGATCATAATATTTTTCCTAGTTGACAATGGTTTTCCATATGCAACTAAATATCTATAGATGTTGCATATGGTGTCCATTTCTTTCATATAAACTTTGAAAATTAAGATCAAATCACAAACATGCTCTAACCACATAAACTGCATAAATGGTCACGGCATTCACAACTTAGTTCATAGACCCCAAACATTCTTTTTTCCTTGTTTCTGATTCCTAATTCATAAGACCTGCATACACAATAGGCATATATTTATTTTGTTGCATCAAGGGATGAAAATCTATGCCAGGAGGATGCCAATTATTCAATTTTTTCCCTACAAAGAGGATCTGTAATGATATAATGATCAGTGGTGTTTGGGATCAGGACCGGCCGGACTCAAACGTTTCGAGTCGCTGAAATTTTCAAAAGTGTTGCCTGCAAATCTACCATATACTTGTGTTGCTGACACTTTTGCAGCATAAGACTGGATCAGATTTCTTCCCACTATGTATGGACTAAGGGGGCGAGATGTAAATAATGGAAATGAAAGTATTATAAGCACTAGCCACACCAGAAATGTCAATTTAGCCATGTTCACCCTGACTTGTGAGAGAATAGCTGAAAGTGCAATGTGAATAGACTTGATGGTTGTATTTATAAAGCTATATATTACCTTTAAAAAAAAAAAAAAAGCGGTAAAGTCATCTCAAGTTAGCTTTCTGCATAAACATGCTAAATTTTTCTCTAAATGATTTTAAAGATGCATTCTCCCACGTTAATCTACTAAAAAAATTAATTGCATTATTAGAAAGAACCTAATTTTAAAAAAAAACATATTTCTTTATTAATTGAACTAACTCTTAGTATATATATTAAATTTATCTATACAAGTGGCATCTCCCAAAAGACAAATTAACCTTTCTTTCTATTCTTATATTTGATTAATCACTAAAAACGAAGATATCCACCAGTTCCATCTCCGAATATGAGGTGTCTCATGATTTTGGTTGAGTTTACAAAAGTCATTCTTCAACTCGTTAATCAACTAACCAACCATTTTGCTTCAAGGAGTCACCCTATTTCGGCATCTTCCTAAAATAACATCTATGTATACTCAACAAGAAGTTTACAAATTTTATCTGTCCTTTTCACATCCATGACCTCAAAAACTATCATTTTAATAGAAAAAATTTCAGCAAATTTTAACTCTTTTATTGCATGAAAACATAATTTTAAAATTTTTCTGTAGTTTATAGATAATAATTTGAACTAACTAGGATTTTTTAATATTATTTTTTATATGTAAATTTAGAAGATAATTTACCTAACGTTCAATATTATTCTTACAGCCTTAAATTCTTCTGAATAAATACTCATTTTCTATAAATTAAAATGATAATTAAGGAATTGAATTCACATCCTCAAATAATTAAGATGACAATAAAGAATGATTCGATCTATTATTTATATATTAATACTCAATCTCGTGTTTGTATAAATTTTCAGTTTATTCATTTGAATTAATTATTTTATTACTGTTTGATGTAAATATATTGTGTTATAAATTCATAAGGACTCTTTGTAAATGTACGACGAACTTTATGCCTTGAGCTTGGTTTGTTGCAATAAGCACAGGACAATATAAATCTAAACAAGGAGAGAAAGGTAGTATAAGTACATAGTTTGAAGGTGGCAAGAACCAGTGCAAGCTCAACTTGATACTGTCTAGTTTAGCTCCAGTTAGTTGTGTTCTTTAGTGTAAAAACAAACCTAAAGTAGTAAATTTGGGTTCCATGTAAGTTCATATAAACCAGTCTAACCAAACTGCATGCATCTTGGTGATGAGAGGTATCATCATAGGAAATAATTGCAAAAGAAGACATTTTCTGAGAATGATAATGATCCTAATTTGAAACAGTACAAACATAAACAGTCAAATTTATGCAAACCATGTATTTTGACTCATTTATTCCTATCTAGCATATGACTAGTAAGAACTTTGTCCATTATTTGATTACTTAATCAACATAAGTTTTGTTCAATCAGAACAGACCACGTTTAACTTCCGAATCACCCGGAGTTAGTATAAAAAGTGAACTGGATTTAGGAAAACATGAGGTTTAACTATGTTCGTGTAACTCAAAATGATAAGAGGTAAGTGGTTGGCATCACTTAAATCACAGAGAAAATTATATCCTGCCACGAAGTTTTTGCCTGTCAGGGACGTCATCAACTAAGAACGAGGCAAGTGACATACCTTCATTACACAACTGTTGATCCTAATGATTTCACTGGAAGCTCCTTGGACACCAACTGAGCAGCAAACTTCTGAAGCTTAGATATGTTTCCAAATGTTAAGGAGAGGACCTGCACTTTTGTAGCAAAAATAAGAAACTAATACCATAAAAGACAGCTGAAAGGATATCTTGTCTTCATATATGGGATGGTCGAGCATCAATAGATTATTGCTGTTCACAATGGCTCGAACCAATATCTCTCTAGCTTCCTCATGTTTCTTTTTGAGCATGTTGGCAATCTGCAAAGAATGAAACAACTTACTCAGCATAGTGACTGTAATGTGATTCATGTGGGTAAGTTCACTTCTAAATATAACAAATTATTTCCTTAATCATCCCAACTATAACGTTGCCTAAGGACCACTAATTCAACAACTTTTGAATCCAAACTATTGCTCGCTCAAAATCCGGAGTTTGAGTTAGTGCTAGGTTATAGGTGGGCTTTAGAACTACTGATTTAACAACTTTCAAACACAAACCATTAATTTTTAAAAAACTCAAACTCAAGTTATTAGTAGTATAAAATTTGAACTTTTGTATGACTTCAACAATTACATCTCTCCGATATGGGATTGAGATATCATACAAACTGTGTATAAATATCCATCATATATATTCTATATCTACAAAATTTTTCAAATCCATTGAACTGAGTCTAACATGTGTAAATTTTTAAGTGACTTGATATGAAAGCAACAACTTTTGAGTTGATTATGAAATTTGCATATAATCATTCTGAAGATAAAGATGGGAATAAATACTTGATTTTAGCATCAAATCACTTTAGACTGCAAGTATGAATTAATTATTACTGTGTCATGTAACAAACTAAATAATAAATTTAGAAAAAAAAGTGAAAAGACAAAGAATTTACGTAGTTCAGCCAAGTCAACCTACTCAACAAGATGGATGAATTCGGATTCACTATAACAAACTCTGGAAAATGTGATCTCTGTCTCTTTTTCCCCCTCAATAAAAGCAAAACTCACATAATGCATCGAAGTCGACTTAAAGGGTAAAAATAGATACATATTTACACATACATAAACCCAGTGTTAAGGATAAAACTATAAAGCTAAACTATAGCATGGGCGCTTTGCCTCTAAGCTCCCCAAAACTTACCCTCATCCACTCTACTACCTAGGACGACTTTATTTACTAGTATTCAATCACTTGAAATCAAGATAAGTTACAAGAACTTCCATCTCCTATTGAATTTCACCAAACATGTTCAAAACTAAAAACTCCTCAACAAAGCCATCCCACCGAATTGGCTTAAGAGGCGTGTCAATTGCTAAAAATCTTCACCAAGTCCAAGCAATGTGTGCACTTGCTTATAGGCACTGTTTTAGTCATTATGTCCGCTAGATTATCTGTTGTGGTAATCTTCTAAACTGCAACTTTATCAGAACTAAAGATCTCATGATAAAGTGATACATGACATCGATGTGCTTGGTTGTTTCATGATGCACAGGACTCTTAGTCAAGTCTGGCACTTTTATTATCATAAATAATAGGAATCTGACTGTACAAATCCTAAACTGATAATTAGACCCTTCAACCATATGACTTCTTCCACAGCTTCTGTAAGTGCCATGGAATCTACCTCACAAGTCGAAAAAGAAATTTTGTTGCAATATTACTTCCCAAGTTATTATACACTTTCATAACAAAAAAAGAAGAATAATAATAGCAAACTTACATAGTGTGAAAACATAACCTTTTAGGATCTCATCTTGCTTCAGTGCATGCATAACCAAAACGTAATATACCCAACAACTCTAATAGAAGAATTAGAACTATTATATAATAAACAGATATTGGATATACACTTGAAACATCTAATTGCACATATTTACTGCCACTCGATATGTTCCTTCATGATTTTCCATAAATTTTCTAACATGTGAAATGTCATACATTAAAGTGCCCACTGCACTTGAGTAGATTACATGTGACTTCTACTCCACCTCATCCTCAAATATAAGTGACTCATTTGAGGACAATGTGAACTATGATGTTAGTGGATTACTCAATGGCTTCATTCTATATTGAAGCACTGCAATGCTTTTTGTATAAATGTCTCATGATAGATACCACTTTGCTATTCTCTCTATGGATCTCCATGTGTAAAATCTCTTTGGCTGCCCCAAGATTCATCATCTCAAACTCACTATTCAATCGCTCCACAAATTGTTTATCTACGTAACATCTCTGGCTGCAATAAACATGTACATGCAACCAAAGTAAATAAAGAACAATTTGCATGGGATTTCCATGGACGCCTTTCTTTTTCTTGAACAGCCATCTTCATCTAACAGTTTTCTTATCCTCTGCTACCAACCATTCTGCCTTCTATTGAATCTTTGTATGATGATGGCTCATCAAACTCCAACTCCTCAGCCATTGTCAGAGCATAGTCAACAATATCATGTCTATATCTTTGTGGTGGTCTATTGTCTCCTCTATCTACCAATAGTTGTAATACATAGGGTTTCTAAGGCTCGACCTTTATTGAATTTCTGTTTGTCTCCCACAATGTCCTAATGTCAACCTCTAGCTCCACCTATTATATGTATTCTCTATTCTTCCAGTACCAATTATCTGTATTTTCTATTTAACATAGCCAATTCATCAAATGGAACATTTTCACTAAGAAGGAATTTTAGATCCTTACATTCTCAAGCTCTTTTGCTAAGAAAAGGTTGATTGAGTGAAGCATGGGAAACATATGGTTCACTTACATCCTCAAGCTCTTTTGCATAGGTCTCTGCCCTTTCCACATTGCTGTTGTTTTGCAAAACAAGAGGCATTTCCAGCTTTGTGAGGCTCACCTCTAGAGTAGCTTCCAGCATAGAAGTTGACTGGTAATTAGTCTTGATCTCTTTACAGTTTTCCTGATTGCAGGCACTTAAAACAGTTAGAAAACAGAAACAAAAAAAGTTACAAACATCAACATCATAAATTTTAGTAACAATTTGGGATGTACGAACCCACAAGCATTATTGGTAAGATACCTTTTCTTCAACAAATATTTCTGAGGACTCCGCAACATTTCTGCATAATTTAAGAGAAAAAAGCATACATTATGCCAACTAACTTCTCAGTAAATGGAGCTAGGCTGTCTATATTTCCCTTGTAAAATCATACCTGCTTTCACTCCGTGGCCCTGATAACCGTTTAATCAGCTTCAATGATGCTAAATTTGCATTTGATTCCTGGAAAATATTTATATATCAAAACTATAAAATTATATAAGTGTGAAAACTTAATTGAAAAACTTAATTGGATTTGGAAAGGCTCAGTCCAGTTATTTGTATTCCAAATGTCATCTTATACACATATACATTAGGTTGGAAGCAAAGCAAAGATCAAGCACAGACTCTTATGCTAAAATTTAATTAACAGAAATTGGGTGGTAACTAAAACTTAAATTATAGACCTCTTGCTTCTAATACTAAATTATAAAATTGATTGTGATCAATTATCCAAAAACTAGAATTTATAAGGGACAAAACTATAATTAATGCCTTAACAAATATTAGAACAAAAAAAAAAAGAGCCTGTCATGATCTTGTGGGAAGTAATTAGAAATTAAGAGCATCAACATTGGAGAAAAAGAAAGTTAGATACTCACAAGAAACAGAGAAAAAGGTTTGTGAAACTGAGTGGACAGGAAAGAAAAGGTACCTTAATATTTTTCCTTTTCAAGGATGGTGTTGGAAGCGTTTGTGTCTTAGTTCCACAAATAGAGTAAGAAATCTTAGAAAATGTATTTCCTTGTAGTTCCATGTTTTGCTCCAACTTCCCCAAGGAAGTAATTTCTTGATGAGGTATTGAGCTTGATGGAACATTCTTTCCACCTGGGATCCTATATTGAGAGAATATAACTATTACAAAGATTCATAATGATGTCCGAAAAAGAAACATATACGCTTCGTACCTCAAATTTTTCAAGCTAGATAAATCAGCCATCCTCTTAACAGTTTTAAGCTTATCAACAGAAGAAACCTTGGGGTTCCCTACAGATTCCATGCCTGAAACAGCAAACTTAGTTGTCTTCTCAGATGGGCTTGAATAACTAGGTTGAGAACTGCAATGAATTCCCCCAAGGTCAAAAAGCCTAAATCAACAATATACTATCTTGTAAGGATGGAAAAACTCCTATGCAACTAGATTATAAGAACTCATAACAATATGTAACATTACAAGAAACACAAAATGTTTCCATGACACAAACATGAAGGAAATGTAGCTCGGAATAATAACATCAACATAAAAGTTTAAAATAAAAGCAACAGGACAGAGAAAAATAATTTGAGAACACCTCAAGAAAAAACAAAATTCAAATTCTCCATGGTGAAATAGCACAAACTTTTTAATATTTGATCAGTACAAAGATATCCATCAAAGACATGCCAAAAGAAGTTACCCGTGTATGGATAAATGATACAAGAAAAATATTAAGAGAAGGAAAAACAAAAAAGTAGTAGTTTTGCAAAAAGTTACTGCAGCCGACAAAGCTTCAGGTTACATGCAATTGGTCCATTCTGAAAACTCTTCACCTTAACTAAATGCATGGAATGTTCAGAACTCTTCAGAGATTGAATCCCTCAGGCTCAAGCACCAAGGGCCTATAAAAAGTTCGATAATTATATATTTTTCAGATTTGAAATTGAGGTTCACAATTAATATATTTTCCCTGTCTATGTATAACGGGTGCTTGTAAAGCAGAAAACAACACCTGATCTCCTTTGTAGCAAATCTTCCAAATAAGAACACAGTGCCAATAAATGTCATGATAATACATATCAAGGTATTTATTGCAGAACACTTTACTTCTATACCTGAAAGATTCCTTCGTAACTACTGTATTTTCCTCAATAATTTTTCTTTTTTCCAGAAGAATCTTGCGAAAACACTAGCTATTCCACATTTCACTGGTCCCTCAGGCCATACAAAACCTTCAAGAACTTAAAGATTTCAACGTTGAGAAAATTTTCTAACTTACGTTGAACAAATTTACTCAGCTCCCAAGTGTTAGACAATTTACCAGAACATGTAAACAAAAATATGAAACTGAAACATCAGAATAGACACAAATCCAAAGGTTCTGTTCCTGTAATGCAGAAAAAAGAGTTCTAGCCCTTTTTTTGCTGTGTCGTCATTACTTTGTTTGCTCTGATAACATAAAGCAATTTAGGAAGAGTAATCCACTCAAAACCTAGGCATTCAAAGATCCCCAGTTAGATAATTAGTAGCCTTAATTTCAGTAATGGAATAACAAAGCTCTAAATCAAATCAAATGAAAGTTAGACAACCTAGCATGTCAATGCTCATTTAACTAATTCTAAAACAGTCATGACCTAATTCAGCTTAACACCAGGCAAACATAAGCTAAATATAATTCAAAAAATAAACTGAAATATGAACGTCTCACCCTGCATCATTCTCACTTCCTAGCATGAAAGCTTTTCCTTTACTTGCTTCTTTGTCTTGTTGTGTTGAATAACCAGCCAGTTTGGGCCCGTTCCTAATACCATCAGGGCTGAAACTAACCCTGTTGAAGATGGCGGAAGATACAATTATTTTAAGGACGGATTCGGTCACAAATTCATTTAGTTCTAGACTGGCAAAGTCTCCTTCCATAAATAAGAGAAAACGTTCGGACTATGCCAACTTTGTAATTTATGGCCAGGCATGGATGCCTTACCTCGAATTGCTAACATTTATCATCTGTTTAGCTCCTAAAAAGACAGGATCTTTTTCCGTCAATTGCTTCAAAAGAGGATCTGAATTACCATCAACCAATTTCCTTCCAAGTTGTGAGTCATTAGGCCTGCAGTCCCCATGGTGAAGACAAAATGAATATGCAAGTATTATAAAATCAACAACCAAACCTGTCAAAAGAAGCAAGGTATACCTCTTTTCATTTGCAAGACGAGAAT